TGCAACTGCACACAGAACAGTGCCCATGCTGGAAGGAACAAATTAGCCTCATGCCAATCCGTCTGTAACTAGAGGGGAGAACTTAGAGAAAATCACAGGCAGTTGCTATGTGCAGCTTTGACACTGACTTGTTAGGTAGCTCCACAGAGGTACGCTAATGTCTGTGTATGTAGAGCCCTAGGAGAACAGGCAGACAGCTCAAAAATTTCTGGGACCTAATGTGTGAGGTGTCATGCATCAGATTGTGTAACAGGGCTACGCATCTAAATGCTAGGGTCTTCTAATATGGAATGGATGGTGGCTGTATTCAAAGACAGGATGCTTTTCAGTGAGGCTCCTTTGAAGTAAAGTCCTGGTAGAAGGCAGTCTGGTTACTGCTCAACACTGGAGCCCCGTGAGCCAGATGAAGTTACAGCTGTTTTCCTTCAACAGTGCTGGCCTTTGGGCAATACTGAACGCGTAACTCACTGCAGGCCACCACTTTGCTCTCCTTCGTTAGCCTGGACTTTTAACTGTAGAATCTCACGTGGAAGGAGTAATATCAGAAGGTCTCATAGTTAGACGTTGTCTGCAAGGTGGGCATTGAAGGCTATGGCTTACACTGACGACTGCTAAGGTTGCAACACAAGAGAACCAGGAAGGACTGCAACAAATGCTGACTCTGGAGGTTGAAAGGAAGGAGCAGAGGAAGGCTCTGTGTGGAACCTCAGCCTGTACCAAGGGAGATAAGTAATATGATGTCACTGTTCACACTGTTGTAAATCTTGTGAAAGGAAACAGACCCCCCCCCCAGCCGAAGCAGATCTGTGACAAAAGGTGGAAGCCTCTTTTTGAACTCTTCATCATCCTCCCCCGCTCACAATTAAAACAAAGCCAGCAGAGGCAAATTCTGAGCTTTTATTCTCTTCCCAACCATGTGCCTCACAGGGGAAAACTGGAAGGAAATTCCATCCCATCCCGCTAAGCTTCCCAGTCCCTGAAAAACAGTAATACAGAGATGGAAGGCAGAGGGGAACAGGACAGGAGGGATGTCAGATTTTAAAATCCTTAAAACCTTCAAAAGCCTTAAAGTGAGAGCTGGATTCTCCTCTCACTTGCACCAGCATAAAGTAGAAGCATCTTCCAGATGCTTCGGTAAAATTAATGTCCAGATCAGATCCAAGGTGTTAAAACAATTCCCTCAGTGATTTATGAAGATGTAGTGAGATCCTCATCCAATGTAGCTTAGTTTCCTTTCACTGAATTTGATGGAGCTTTACCACTTTATGCATGTTGAGGAAGTGGCCCATTAAATCCTCAAAGAAATGCACGAGCATTATATTCTCATCCCCATTTGCCATTGAAACGGATATTTCAGCATACTGCGTGACTGCATTCTGGCAAAACGATACCATAGTTATGTACGTTTCTATAACACCATAGTATTATCAAAATATCACGAAAAACAGTTTACTATGCAGTGGAAGTAACGCGTGAACACACAAAACTAGAAGAATCAGCCTCTTCCCTCAAAGCTGAAGCTCAAATGTTAACGTTAAAGGGAACCTCTGAATCATGCAGAATTTTCCCTTGCCAACCAATATTGACTTATATTTGTTTTAGTTCCATGTTATGCACATTCTGTATATGCTAGCAGATAATCCAAGATGATAGCATTTGGATTTACGTTTGTTTTATTTACACCATCCCTGCATTTACAGCAATGGAATCAATTGTTTAGATTAAATTAAAGTTGGATGATCTCATGGCTTGTTTGATGTGGCAAATTTTTCACTCTCAAACTACGGAGAACAGTTTAGGATTTAAAAGAGCAAATTAAATTATTTTAGGTTAGCATTGTTGTACTAGAGCATAGTGTTTGATACCAGAGGTTTTAAACACTGGGGAAAAAATATGGCAATGGATAAGTGCAAATCTGCCAAAATGGCTACACAGATTTTTACAAAAACACATGCACACAAAAACATTGGCATTGAGCTTTAATACGAAATAACGTTGGAACATTTAATATATTAGGTAATATAGTGTTTTTTCCTGTCCCTCAGTCAGATGAGATGGATTTTCCTTTCTTTCCTTTTTTTTTCTTTTTTTTTTCTTTTTAACAACCTTTACAGGACTCTTAAGGGACTTGTGCAAGTGTTTGTATTTTCTGCTTGCAAATTTAAATATGATGAACTTCCCTGTCCAATGCTAGGAAAATGATCATGCAGCTGTTGCTTACAGTAATTGGTTCTGATGGGAGTAGATGTGTTTTCAAAAGGATTGTTCACATGAATGAGCATTATTTGCATGAATATCAATGTCTTGTATTACTCTAGTCCATAATTCCTAACCAGGACCACTGAAGGCAGTGGATATACAGAGAAGACATAATGGACATCATGTAGCCTGTTGAACATCATCGCTCCTGGTGACATGCAAGATGGAAAGAACTCAAACTTGTTTATCAGAGCCCATGCTGAGCGTTTTGGCCTAGCATTCATTTAAAGACAGGCTCTTTTCTGTATATAAATTGAGCATATTTTGTTCTGGATTGAAACTTTTTTTTTTTCCTCTTAACTTGGTGCCTGACTGTATCATTTTTTTTATTGTCAGTTTTCTGAGCAGAACCTCACTTTAAGACTGACTATCTGCGATAGCCTGTGAAATGTAATACATTACATGGATGGTGGTTTGCTTGCCTGGTAGATTAGATACTCTACAAACACCACAAGGTCCTTAGAAAAACACACGCTTATTCTACAGAAATTGTTCAAAATACTGTATTACTGTAGGCTATAGTATTTGAACCATTACTAATAGCATGCTGATAGGGCTATCTTCAGTCAGGTTTTTCTCTTTTCCTGCCTGGAGATTTTACCAAATCAGATTTTGAGGATATTAAACGTCCTTGTCTGGGTTTTCCTGATGCCAAATACCTCCAGTCAGGCAGCACTACCTCTAGAAATCTTGGCTGTAACCAGAGCGTGTTTTTAATATTATTTGTTCTTACTCCCCTGAATGTCGAGCTAAGCCTCATTAGCAGCTAATTTAGCTGGAACTTTATGTTCTTCAAGGTTCTAAATCACATTTAAAGATAGGATATAACTGGGCCTCTTTTTTGATGGCAGAAAAGAGTGGATTTTGTTGTAGTAGACAGACTTCAAGAAGCCTCAAGAATTTCTCTCTTTCTCAAGAATACAGAAAGAGTTTGTTTTAATTAGATGGCATGTTGCTGCAGTTTTTCTTTCTTCCTAGGACTTTGGCTTGATTCTAGGAAGTGGTAAACACAAGCACTCGGAACTGATTGAGCCCACATGAACAGAAAAACTCTTCTTTATCTTGGTCTCTGGGTGATCACTCAGATCTGAAAAGAGGCCCTTTTGTTGCTTGTACTTCAAAAAAAATCTTATTTCTTGATAGGACTTTATTAAAGAAAATAAAAAGAGTATCATGTACAACAGAACTGAGACAGAGAGAGGGAAGATTTTCAGTTGCACAGGAGAGCTGAATATCAAATTCCTAGTGTTATTTGTGCACCAAAATCTAGGTGAATTGAAACTTGGAGAATCTCTAAGTTGTCTTTCCCTCTCCTAATTATATCACTTGGCCTGTGCTTCTTTTCTTACATATTCCCAGTTGTGAGAGCTCAAAAGGAGGAGAATTTCAAACAGTAACAGAAAGATGGACATGATTTTAGACTTTTAAAATGTGGAGCCAAGTTCCTCATTTGAGGGCAGGTAGGAAAAGAAACGGAGTGAAAGTTGTCCTTAAATTTGCTGTGAGATTAGGAAATCTCTGAGTTGTTGGTATTCTAACTTGTACTGTATATTGCCCTAAATGCATGAATAAGAGGCAATTTAAAAAATACTAGCCTTTTATGATTATTCTGTGGTTGTTGAGTCTGCAAACAACAAAAGAATTTGATTTTCTTGGCTCTGCTATACCCTGCGTAGTGCGTTGAAAATTTCCTTTCCAAACATTTTTTTTATCAGAAAACTGAACTCTCAAAGAGATTAGTATTCTGTGAAAAGTATAAGCTTTCCTTGATAATTAAAAATATTGAAAAAAATGGAAATCTTTACCAACTATTAGTATTTTTTAATCCAAAAAATCAACTTTACATGAGGGGAGGAATATTTTGTCAGTTACAGTATTATTGCCCTTCTCAGTCAATAGCTGATATCTGTGAGCTATCAACCTTAATATTCATACACACACACACACACACACAAAAACACACGTACTACTGTTAGATAAGTTTACATATTTTAAGAAATGACCCATGAGCAAGTGATGATTGACTTCTGTTATTTTTGCCCCACGGATATACACACATTGGCTTAAACCCTTCACAATCTGGAGGTGGGGTTATAAGTCAAGGCAGAATTTCTCCTGCTTTCCATGCTCATTCTAGATTTGCGGGCATAACCATTTGTTTCTGTCTGTTAGAGAACAACTGTTGACAACTGGTAAATGATGCTCCTTTCTTGTAAGACATGCACATTTTTCTGCAGAGGTTTTTCAGTGCTGTAAACTAGATCTTGAATTAAAGTCCCATCAGAGAGCTTGGGGTATGAGAGGAGAAGAACAAGGAAAAGTAATGTGTACAATGGTACTGGAGAAAAGGAAGAGATAAGCTGGTATTTAAAGCTATCAGTATCTTAGATGACCAAGTAAATACTATACACAAACACACACACGTCCACAGAGGAACGTGAGAATAAGTTTGTACGTACACATAAGATTGTGTGCAAACAGGACTGAATTACAGTATGGATCTTTGTCTCGCTTCACTCTTAGAGGGCTCTGACACAGACCTGCAGGGTTCTCTCTGTAGTGCTTTGGAAACATTTGCTAGCCTAGGCAAACTAATAAATGTGAGTGTGCAGAGGTGAATGAGTGTGTGCGTTGTGCATGAGAGAAAGAGGCAATGGTTCAGTGATACAGTAAATCTCGTACTGTACCAAAAAGCTGTAGCTACGTGACATAAAGTGCTGATCCTTTATAAGCTAACTCTGATGGCGTAAAGCTGCTTTAAAAAGTCTTCCAGCTTTCCATTTCCTGGGAGGCTTTATGTATGAGGTATTGTCTTGTCCTGCGATAGGCAATAAAGGATCATCCTGTTACCTTTCCACATCATGGCTCTGGCTAGCTTGACAGAAGTGTGTTTTGTATCCTCATATCTGATGGAGATCACGTGAGGACTGCTGGATGATTTGGCAGTGCACAGCTTGGTATTACCACCTGTGGAGTCACAGCCTGGAGCGTGATCCGAGTGTGACAGTGAGCATGGGTGTGTGTGAAGACCCACGTAAGCAGGTATTTCTAAAGGCATATGGGCAGGGAAAGGAGCAGGTGTGTGCTTTTCTGTCTTTAGTCTCCCAGAACCTGTCCGTTCTCTCACTTGGTCTCAGTGCTCTCCCAGGAAGTGATAAGCCATGTTTACTATAGCATCATCAGCATCCAAGCAGCACAGGCAAGACCAGATACACACCCCGCC